CAAGTGAAGACATCACCTTCTCGATGTCGTTGGTCCTCTTTGAGAATGAAGAACAAATAGCAGAAGAGCTGTAACCAGCAGAAGAGCAATAGTGCCTTCTCCTAATCAGAGGGAGCAGGGACAGGAAGCACTTTTCATGTTCTTCATCCCTTTTCCAGCAACAGGGATTGTTAGTGCTAGAATAGGGACCCGAGAAATTACCTAGAAGGGTGTTAAGGACCAGGTGTTCATTGTCATGGTGGACATGAGCTAACTAGCTAGGGTGAGCAAAGTAGTACAGCAAGAGCTCACATTTTATATTAAGTCTAATTAGAAATGTCTAATTTGCAAACCACTCTGCATTCGGTCTTTTGACCTTCACAACAATCCTGGGAAGCTGGGTACTCCGATCAGCCCCATTTGATGGTAGAGAAAATGGAGGCTCAGAAGGATTGTTTGGTTATTAAGATTCAGGGCTAGGGAAGAGAAGTGAAATACAAGTCTTCATGAATCCAAGCACATTATTTTATTAGTGCCTTAGATGATAAATATCAGAACTGACTCTGAAAAGGGGGATCCCTGCACTACACAGACTTGTACAGACTACAATGGCTTGTAGTCATTGGAGTAAAGTCTGTTAAGATATCTACATCATTATTCTTCCTGATGCTTGCCTTGATGTAAAGGGGCAACCTTCTAGGGACACACACACACACACACACACAAGGCTTTATCTTCTCTCTCTGTGCCTGGGCATGGGTTGTTCCCAATCCCTTCTAATGTTTCACTTCCTAACCCACACTTCTCAGGAACCCAGACATTCTTTAAGACTCATCTCAAAGATGGCTTCATCTGGATCCTTTGCTCAGTCTCCCACAGCAGTAAAATCCTTCATCCTGAGAAAAAGAGGGATCATCTAAAATCCAAGAGCTATGTGATGCTAATCATCTCCCATTAATTGACCATCCAAGGATATCCTTGAAGATGGAGAACAGGGATGTGAAGGGTCTGTATACTAACAGGACTGTTGAACAGATAGTCTTTAGCCATCTCTGAGTAAACTGTGAAATGTCTGCACGGTCTTGAGTATCCTTGTTGAAAAAAATGACTCCTGCCACCAGGACCAAGAAGCCTGGTGAGTTTTACCCTTCTCTAAAACAAGGGACCACTCAGCTCTGGCCACAGGTTCAGACTCATAAAAGCCTGGTTCCTCAATAGAAGAATTAAGTTCTTTCTTCAATCTCTGGTTCTTTACACACACACACATACCCAGAGTCCCAGGGAAATCCACTTAAAATTTAGGTTAGACTCATTTCTTGGGTCTTCCCAATAGGGAACATGGAAAACTACTCAAGGTGCCATGTAAATCAGCTCTAAGACAGTGATTGGGTTCCTGCACCTAAAAGATGTGCTTAAAAGGAAAGATTCCCAAGGGTCCATTGACAAGAGACTTGAACAAGGAATAGCAGTAACACATCTACCATTATACTCTCCCAAGATAGTGGGAATTAAACATCAGAACATGAAGTAATTTGCAGGAAAAGGAGTTAGACATTTCTTCTCAGCTCTGCACTGTGCAAAAAATTCCTTCAAGGTCTATATTTCTGGGTAAGCCTGACAGGTCGTTGGGCTAGCCCCCCTGTTGGGTGGTCGTCTTTTCCAAATGCAGAAGTTACATAACTTTCCTGCTACCAATCAGCACTGTCTGAGGAAACCAGTGTCCCTGGACTTCTCAGATCCCAAGCCTGACTCAAAGGTTGAGAAATCTATCAAAAGATCACACTTCAGTTATCTATACTCAAGAAAGAAAAAAGACCCATACTCAGACCCACATAGGCAAGCTGTGTGTTTCACCTGCAAATACAAAGATGTGTCATGCTGCCAGGGTGGGGAAAAGGCCTCAACTTTTCCCCCTCCCCCACAAGGAGGGCTCAAATAGGAACTTGCCGGACAGGTGGTAAGCAGAGAGTGAGAGTCAGGGGAATAGCTATTTCACTTACAAATTACAGTGTCTCTTCATCTCATCTTTACAGATGAGTCCACTACAAATCAAGGCGATTATTAAGTGACTCCCCAAGATCACAGAGGTAGTATGTAGCTGAGATGAGAGTTCTCTGGATTGAATGTGAGTAGCTTCATGCACAGCTCATTCTTGCTTTCAAAGCCTATCTTTCTACACACCTATAATCTCCCAGAGATCCCAAGTGGCCACGGATCATGGAACACAGTAATCTTAAAAAAAAGTCAAATTATACTTTACCCAAAGCAATGGAGAGAAACCTAGGGAGTTTCAGATTAGCTGACAGCAGTAGCCAGTGGGTCAGACTCCACTGAACTTCCAAAGTCATCTTCCCAAAATATCCCACCCTGTGTACTCGAATGTATTCCAATGACATTCGCTCATTCCACAGTGCTCTGCCAAACCCCCAAGCTGGAAGTCTCATGGGAGTCAATGATGATCATTCTCAATTGTGATGGTCCTGTGCTCTGAAGGGATAAAATGAAGTTTCCTAAAGAATGACAGAGCCAGGAATGTTATCTTTATTGTGAGCCTATAGCCAACTCTCCAGATAGGGGAATTGCTGGATGAACACTAAGAATAAATTGTCCCTCTATAATTCAGGCACTGGTCAGGTCCCCTCTTGAGCATGTGGCTGGAAAAGGAGGTCATGAGCCAATGTCCATATTAAACTGGGATGCAGCATTAACAGATGTCAGCACTGCCTCTTTCCCTAAAATCCTTAAAATCCTTACTCTTAACCCACTGCTTGAGGTTCTATCATTGAGTCAACCCCACAGTAAGAGGATGGAGATGGGGAGATTTGTCAATGCAACCAGTTTTACTGATTAGCACGCAGGGCAGCAGTTTGCATGTTGAGGTTTGAATGTAAGACTCAAAAGATTCCCCTGCTTTTTAGTTTACAAAGTCAGTGAAATGAATTTCCATGAAGAATTACATACAGGTACAGAGAATGCAAAAAAGGATTTCCTTTCCCCTGACTATGGATGTTGTGGCTGCGTCTGAGATGTCAGTCCCAGTGGATATAGGGGACACTGATAAACACACAACCTCTCTCAAACACATCTCTAGTTAAGGAAATGTCTTTGTTCTGTAAAGTAGTATTAATCTTTCAGGTTTCTAAATCTAGATGATGGGTTGCTGGACCAGGCAGTTGATGGTCAACTGCTGAAAAACAGTTTGACTGCTAGAGCCTCAGCCCTCTGCCCTGATTTCAGCCTCTGGCTTGGGATGGTACCATTTGAATGAAGATTCTTACTTCCCAATTCTTCCTTTGTCTTTCACCCTTCCTTGTTCCTTCCTCCTTATTAGGTAATTTAGAAAAGACCTTCATTTTCCTGGACCAATAAATAACAGGGCAGTTCACCCCCCTAGGCCTCTGAAAGTATCTACATAATAAATGAAATACAGGGTCTAGCCCTGAGGGTCTCTGGTCCTTTAACTGGAGCAGAGATCTGACCATAGAAATCCCCTACACAGTGCCCTGCATATGGGAGGTGTTTAATAAAGGTTTTCTGACAGACTGACTGAACAAACTCAAATGTTTTTAGGAGAAAATACAAACCACTTTGTCATTTAAAGCATTCAGCCCTCTAGTTAAGCATCCCTTTCTAGTCTAATTGTACAACACACTCCTTTATTTTTCTTCAATCCAAACCGAAGAGCTGTCTTTCTCTCCATCACAAATGATATTTCACCTCTTTTTCTCCAGGCCTTTGCCCAGGCTGTGCCCTATTCTTGAAATGCACTGTACACACCCCTGACTCTGAGAATGCCTACTATTCAAGCCCTTCCTCTTAGAGGTAATCTGATTTCCCTGGTTGTCCATGTCTCACTTCCTGTATCAACTGAAATTACCTTTCTGTAGGCTTTACTGTGCCTTGCCAGGATCTTCATTTCATGTAAGAAAATTCTTTCACATAAGAAAATTCATGTAAAGAAATTCAATGTAAGCAAATGCTTGTACTTTATACCTGCCCACTCCTGGGACTGATGCATGAGGGGAAGGAATTAGTCTGGGAACATAGTGGGGATAAGAACCCTAAACCCCCCAAAAAAACCCAAAAATAAAAAAAGGGGGCAGCTAACTAGCAGCTAACTAACACCTCCCATATGCAGGGCACTGTGTAGGGGATTTCTATGGTCAGATCTCTGCTCCAGTTAAAGGACCAGAGACCCTCAGGGCTAGACCCTGTATTTCATTTATTATATAGATACTTTCAGAGGCCTAGGGGGGTGAACTGCCCTGTTATTTATTGGTCCAGTAAAATAGAGCACTGGCCCTGAAGTCAGGAGGACCTGAGTGCAAATCTGGCCTCAGACCAAACACTTGTCGCTTACTAGCTGTGTGACCCTGGGCAAGTCACTTAACCCCAATTGCCTAAAAAAAATAAATAAATAAAAGAACCTGAGACCCCATTGAGATGAATCTTGAAGCTAAGCCAATTCCCTCTTCTTTTCAGTGACAAAGGCTGATGAGAGGGCTCTTTAGTAGAGAAAACATTTATATGCTCTTGGTCCTAAAGGGAACAGACAGAGCCTTGGGCCTTCACGCTACCAAGGGATCCCTTGGAGTAGAAAATAGAGACATCTTGCAAAAATGGCCAGTGACTGGGTCTGATCCTGCCACCTACTCTCCTAGGAACTCTAGCTTTACCTTCTGGGAGATACACACCAACTCACCCAGGTGTACACATTAGCTTGAGTCAACCAATAAGTCAATTACTGTCCTCCAGATGCAGGAAATAATGAGTCTCTAACTGGGTGGTGGTTGGGTGAGTCAGGACATTCACCTTGGCTCTTGGCCAGGCCCAGGTCTTAAGAAACCCAGCCTTGTGAGACCAGTGGGGCCAGGGCTGGTGAAAAAGGAATCTAGTCTATATCAGGGTAGCCAGGTGGCACAGTGGATGGAGTGCTGGGCCTGAAATCCAAAAGACTCATGTGCCCGAATTCAAATCTGACCTTAGACACTTACTAACCAGATGACTGTATGTCAGGTGACTTTTATTATTCTTTTTTAAATAATAGTTCCCAGGACCCATGGCCACAAATAATCGACTAGTTCCCAGGATTCCACATTGTAAACAAGTTCTGCTGCAACTGGGGATTGAGATATAATGATGAGATGGTATAAACGTGTGAGGCTATTGCTGCCAAATTGCCTCCTTTGTGTGCTCCTCTATAAATCAAGTGAGCACCGGTCAGTAAATGGGAAATGTGCCAACTAAAAGTTGCGTGTGCCTTGACCTGCCCCCATCAGGGTTTGGGGGGAATATGACAGTGTAATGCTGTGCTTGCCTCAAATGGCCCCCATTGAGGTTTTGGGGCTCATTGTAGGACGCGGAGCTCCTACTTTGTATATTCTCCCCCACCCCTCTGAGAAAAGTAATGAGGGGAAGCTATAAGAGTTGGTGCTTCCATTATCAGCAACACATTTGACAAGAATAAGTTATTTAATCCCTCATCATGTCTTAGTTCCTGTGCTTCTGGCTGCCCACATTAAGAGTGAACCTGTTAGAAGCTGGAGCCCAGAAGCTCCAGTGCCTCCTGCCCTACAGTGACCCAGGGCTAATCACTTAACCCTATTTGCTATAGTTTCCTCATCGGTGAAATGAGGTTGAGAAGGAAATGGCAAACCATTCCAGGACCTTTGCCAAGAAAACCCCAAGTAGGGTCATGAAGAGGCAGGCACAACTGAATAAAACCAAGCAACAAGTCTCTATTATTTGCTAAAGAGAACTAGAGCAAAGTCTTCTCAACAGGAACTTGGGTTCCCACAACAGAAACATTTGAGGCAAAGATACTGAGAGGACTTGAAATGTGACTGTCTCCCCTGTTTCGATTTTCCTTTTTGTTTCCCAGGAGGCTGCACTACCTGCAGCACTCTGTCTTGGCTATGCAGACAGGGTTTGTGATTGACAAGACTTTGTTACAGGTGCACACCTGTGGGACCAGAAAGGGGAAGCCCTGGGAGATGTGAGCCTGCCCAGAGAACAGGGGCTGCTCTGTCCTGGGGACTAGAGAGGAGGCAGCTGCTGCTCTGAGCTGAATCCCCCGAACAGTCTGGGGAGGTTTTTGTTCAAGGCTTGAAGCACCGTGGGGAAGGGAAGCTCGTTAGACTGCTGACAGGAATAATCTCCAGCATCCTCGGGCTCCAGGCTGCTGATGGTGAGAGTGAAATCTGTCCCAGACCCACTGCCCCTGAACCGGGCAGGCACTCCAGATACCAGGCTGTTAGTCCAGAAAATGAGGAGCCTGGGGGCTTGGCCAGGTTTCTGCTGGTACCAATGTAAGTAGTCATCACCATCGCTATCTGTTAGACTCTCACTGGCCTTACAGCTGATGGTGACTCTCTATCTTGAAGATCTGGACAAGGAGGCTGTACACAATGGCTCCTTGGGAATCTAGGAAACCAACAAATTTAGAGGAAGACAGAAATGTGTGAATGCCTAATTTAAAGAATATGAATGAGACAATTTTGTGGAGACCACAGAAATTTTAAATGACTGACAAGTAGTTGTATTTGCTGTCAACATGAGACAGAAATCATCTTTCTCTCAGACCTTATGATGTCTGTAGTCTGGGACCTGGTCATGTTAGTCAGCCCATTTCTGCATCTGCTGTTACTAAGCTTACTCTCCTACTGGATTGAGGGATCATAATCCCTGAAAACCCGTGATCCTCTAAACCCCTTCACTGCTCTGCTATGTCTTACCCTGAGCCCAGAGCACCAGTGGCCAGAGGAGCTGCCATGGGGAAACCATCCTGGCCTTTAGATTCCTGTAGAGAGAGCACTCAGAGCCCTGAGAGGGCAGGAAGGAAGAGGAAGCTTTTATATCCTGAGCAGGACTCCCTACAGGTCCCTTGGGTCTCCATATGCAAAAGAGCCCCAGGTCTGGTATAAGCCTCACCTCAGGGACCCTGTAAGTCACACTGAGTCACACTGGCTGAGGCTGGCTCTGGGGGAGGAGTCTAATTCTTTTCTGTCCTCAAATGTGTGACCTCAAGAGCAAAGGCAAGATCATGGTTAGTGACCAATGTAGGAATGTTTGCAGTTGATGGTGGATTTATGAGAGGAGGCTTCTCTCTGTGCCCCAGGGCTAGATTCCCCATAACCACGAGAAAGCTCCAAGCCCTGGGGAGGTGGCAGCCTACAAATTACAGCATCTTTTCATCTCATTTTGACAGGTGAGTCAACTGAAAATCGTGGAGCTTCTTAAGTGGCTCCCCAAGATCACAAAACTAGTACATGACTAAAATTAGAACTCTCTGGATTGAATTTGAGTAGGTTCATGCAGAGCTCATTCTTTCTACTGAAACCCATCATTCTAAATACCTGTAATCTTCCTGAGATCCCAAGTGGCCATGGATCTTGGAATACAATGGTCTGAAAAGAAGTCAAATTATACTTTACCCAAAGCAGTGGAGAAAAGTAGAGCAAACCTAAGATTAGTAGACTTCAGCAGCCAATGGGTCAGACCCTACTAAAGTCTAAAAGTCAACTTTCAGAAATACCCCCCACCCCACTCCCCATCTACTGTCTACTGCAATGTACTCCAGTATAACTCACCTCCTTAGACAGTGTGCTGCCAAACTCCCAGATTGGAACTCTTGTGGGAGTCAGTGATGATCATACTCAATTATGATGGTCTTGCGCTCTGAGGGAATAAAATGATGTTTCATAAAGAATGATAGAATCCTCTCCCACCTTCCCAGAATTCCCAGGAAAACTTTCAGCTCTCCAATTCCTCCACCAAAAAACAGACAGAACATAGCCTCAGAGCAGCAGAAATGAACTTGAGGTAAAGCAGTTGTTTGCCTAAAACAACCTGAGAAGATCTCAGAAAAGACCTGACCTCTAGGGCAGAGGTTGGGCCTGAGTGAAGTGCAAACTCCTTCAGGCCAACTCTGCTGAATCAGCAACAACAAGCCCTGGGAGCAGCTGGGTTTGGGAGGCAGCCTCAGGCTTAGAAACTTTCATCTCAAGGACAGTGTTGGGATCTGATGGTTGTAGGAGGAGACTGAAGGACCTTCCATTGCTGAGGGTTGCTAAGCACAGCTGGGCTGACCACACAAGTGCTGGGCTGGGTTGCCTCTGAGGGGGAGAAAGAGCTTGCACACCATTGGTAAGTGCAGTAACAGAGGGGCAAGGATCCTGCTGGCTGTGGGCACTTGCAGGAGAGTGCAGCCCATGGTTTCTGTTCCAGGGCAGAGAGGACAGCTGTAGTTTACAGTCACTGGAGAGACAGCAGGGAGTAAGATCATCTGCATGAAAGTGTGAATGGGGCTCTAGTGGTGGCTTAGGAGTGGAAAGAAGAGCCCAAGGTTGAGCCCCAGGACAGACTTCAGAAAGTAACAGTAAAGAAAAAAAAAGGAAATAATTGTAAGAAGGAACTGAGGCTTGGGGCATCATTTCCTCATACCTCAGGGCTGCAACTTGATTAACCAAATAGCTGCTAAATAATAATAATAATAAAACAAAACATTTTAAAAATGAGCAAGCAAAGGAAAAAGAACCCAACTATAGATAGCTACTATAGGGATAGAGAAGATTTGGGTTCATATTCAGAGGAAGATAATGGAGCTAAAAAAGCTACTCCTTTTTCAACGAGGAATGCCAAATGGTCCACAGCACAAAAAGATTTCCTAGAGAACTTTAAAAGGAGAGAAGAGAGGAGGGATAGGAATAGGGGGAGAAGTTCAGTGAGGGCAAATAGGAAGGAGGGAAATAAATAACAAGTAATTATAGTTTGGAATGTGCATGGGATGAATTTACCTATAGGGTGGAAAGTGATAGCATATTTAAAAATCAAATTTAACAATATGTTCTTTCAGGGAACACTATAAAAGTGAGAGATACACACAAAAAATAAAAAGGTCAGGAGTAGAATGTATTATGTAAAAAACAGGGTTAGTAATCACTATCTCAGAGAAAGTCAAAACTAAAATAGATTTAATCAAAAGAGAAAACAGGGAAACTACACTACATGTCAGCCATACTGTTCAATATTATTTTAGATCATTTAAAATAATTAGACAGTATAAAATACCTGAGAGTATCACTGCCAAAATAGACACAGGAACCATATGACAACAAACATAAAACAATTTTTATACAAATAAAGATCTAAATAATTGAAATAGTATTTACTGTTCATATGTAGGTAAAGTCAAATTTTTTAACTAACAATTTTACCTAACTAATCTATTTATGTATTACAAGTATAATTAAATTACTAAAAATTACCTTACTGAGTTAAAAATATAACGAAGCTTATTTGGAAGAACAAAGGGTCAGAAACTTCAAAGAGAGAAGGGAAAAAAAGATATAAAGGAAACAGATTCAATAATGTCAGACCTTAAACCCTATTAAAAGGTGACAGACAGCATCATTGAGACAATTTCTCAGATAGGTGATAGGGTTGAGATACTGCTGTGGTGCGGAAAATGATGAGCTCATTGAATTAGAAAAGTATGAAAAGATTTGGACATATGAAGGATGATATCCACCTTCAGAGAATAAGCATAGTAAAGACTAACATACATGTGTTTGAGTGTATATGTATAATGTGTGTGTGATTATAAATATGTGTATGTGTATATGTATATATGTGTATATGTGTATGTGTGTACACGTATGCATATGTATGTGTGCATATGTGAATATGTATACAAATATATACATATACATGCACACAGGCACATGCGTGTGTGTGTGTGTCCATGCTTAATTGTAGCCTTCTTCAGGTGGGAAGTGGGGGAGAGGGAGAAAAAAAGTAAGAAGTGCACAACAGACAACAAAGAAAACCTACAAGGAAAAAAAGAAAAAATGGACAGTTTTGAATACAATGAGCAGTATTTACTATACAGGCTTTCTTGAAATGGAAATTTATTGTATTATATTGAATCCTCTCCTATGTTCTGCTGCGTACAAGGCAATGTTATTTCAGTTCTTTTCTTATTTTGTATTCAGGTTCAAAATTTAAAAAAATTTAACAAAAAAAAGAGAATGACGGAGACAGAAATGTAATCTTTATTGGATGCCAATGGGTAACTCTCCAAATAGGGGAATTGCTGGATGAACTTTGAAGAAGAAGCTGTCCCTCTATATCCAGGCGCTGGTCCTCTCTTCAGCATATGGCTGGGAGAGGAGATTGTGAGCCAATGTCTGTATTAAACTGGGGAGCAGCATCCAGGGGTGCCAGCCCTGCCTATTCCCCATAAACCATTAAAATCCCTTACCCTTAACCAACTCCTTGAGGTTCTATCATTGGGTCAGACCCACAGTAGGAAGATGGAAATGGGGAGATTTGTCAATAGAACAAATTTTACTGATTAGCATGCCTGGCAGATTGATGATCTAAGGTTTGAATGTAAGACCCAAAATATTTCTTTTCTCTTTAGACTGCAATTCACCTAATTTCTTTCTGTCCCCCAAGGAAAGTGATACAGCAGCTCCTAATAGATGAAAAAGGCCTAGCCCCTCCCCAGACCAGAAATTGTCTGAGCCTGTAGCTTGGAGGGAAGCACCTACTCCCCAGAGCTGAGGGGCTGAGCAGCCTGGGGAGGCTTTTGTTCCAGGCAGCAGCACTGTGGGAGATGGACATCATTATGTTTCTAAGAGTAGTAATTGGCAGCAAACTCTGCCTGCACAGGACTGAGAGTGAAAGTGAAATCTGCCCCACACCCAGTGCCACTGAACTGGGCCAGGATCCCCCCAAAATACAAGAAGTTTCATAGATCAGGAGTTTGGGTGAGTGTCCTGGTTCCTGCTGGTACCAGGCTATCTACTCGTCAATGCTGGAACTGGTCCAGCTGCTGAGGGTCACTCTCTCTCCTGGAGCCACAGACAGGGAGGCTGGAGACTGGGTCTGGATACATTATCTGCAGAGGATTCTGGATATGGGAAAAATGACCAAAAAGTCAATGAAATGAATTTCTGTGAGGAATCACATAGAGGAACAGAAAATGTAAGAAAGGATTTTTTTCCCCTGAGTATAGGTGTTGTGGCTATGTCTGAGATGACAATCCCACAGGATATATGGGACATTCAGACACACACAACCTCTCTCAGACATATTTCTAGGTAAGGAAGCTTCTCGGTTCTCTAAATCAGTATCAGTCCTTGGGCCGTCTAGATCTAGATGTTGGGATGGTGGGACCAGGGTGTGGATGGTCAAAGGATGAAAAACAGTTTGGCTGCTAGAGCCTCAGCCCTCTACCCCCATGTCAGCCTCTTGCTGGGATGGTACCATTAGAGTGAAGATTCCTGCTTCCTAATTCTTCCTTCTTCCTTCACTCTTCATTCATTCCTCCTTATTAGGTAATTTAGAAAAGACCTTCATTTTACTGGACCAATAGATAACAGGGCAGTACCCCCTATATCCTGCCTCAGAAAGTATCTATGTTTCAAATGGTATATAGGGTGAAGGCCTGAGGGTCTCTGGTCCTTTAACTGGAGCAGAGATCTGACCATTGAACTCCCCTACACAGTGCCAGCACATGGAAGGGTTTAAGAACTGTTTACTGACAGACTGACTGAATAAACTCCAATGGTTTCTTTTTGTCTTTAGGAGAAAATACAAACCACTTTGTCATTTAAAGCCTTCACCATCTAGTTCAGCATCCATTTCCAGATTAATTTCACAACACACTCCTTTATTTCTTCTACAATCCAAACCAAAGAGCTGTCTTGCTTTCCATCTCAAATGATATTTCATCTCCTATCTCCAGGCCTTTACCCAGGCTGTGCCTCACTGCTGAAATGCACTGTACACATGTCTGACCCTGACAGTCCTTAGCATTCTTCAAAGCTGAGTTCAAGCAACTCTTCTTAGAGGACATTATATTTCCTTGGCCACCATGTCTCACTTTCCATATCAACTGAAATTACCTTTGCATAGGCTTTACTCTGTCTACTCTAGGACCTTCTTTTCATCAAAGAAAATTTCCCATAAGAAAATTCATGTAATGGAATTCAATGTAAACAAATGGGTATACTTCATGCAAACCCACTGCTAGGATTGGGTGCATGAGGAAGAAAGAAAGGGTCTGTGAACATTGTGAGGATGGGGACTCAAGACTTCATTGATATGAATCTAGGAGCTCAGCCAATCCCCTCTTCTTTTCAGTGACAAAGGCTGGCCAGAAAGCAATGGAGTATCAGTGAAAACCGGTCCTAAAGGCAATGGACAGGCCTGGGGCCTTTCTCCCACCAACAGATCCCTTGGGGCAGTGGGTAGAGGCAGAGACACCTAGCAGAGATGGCCAGTGAATGGGTGTGACTCTGCCACCCACTCTCCTGGAAACTCCCTGTATGGCTCCTGGGAGGTACACTCCAACCCACCCAGGTGCAAACATTAGCCTGAGTCAGCCAATAAGGCCACTGTCCTCCAGATACAGGAAATGATGGGTTTCTAACTTGGGGGTGGCTGGGTGAGTCAGGCATTTAACCAGGTCCAGGTCATAAGGAACCCAGCCCTATGAGACCAGTGGGGCCAGGGCAGGAGAAAAAGGAATTTAGTCTAAATCAGGGCAGCCAGGTGGCACAGTGGATGGAGCACTGGGCCTGGATTCCAAAAGCCTCATGTTCCTGAGCTCAAATCTTACGAGCTATGTGATTTTTGGCAAATCACATAATCATATTTGCCTCAGTTTCCTCATCTGTGAAATGAGCTAGGGAAGGAAATGGCAAACCACTCTAGGACCTTGGCCAAGAAAATCCCAGATGAGGTCACAAAGAGTCAGACATGACTGAACATTGGCAACCAACAAGTCTTTATCCTTTGCTAGAGAGAACTAGAGTAAAGCCTCCTCAACATGAGTTTGGTCTCCCAACAAGAGAAATACTTTATGTTGAGGCAAAGTTATCAAATGGACTTAAGTGTCAGCATGTCCCCTGTTTGGATTTTACTCTTTGTTTCCCAGAGGACTGGCCTACTTCCACTGTGCCTGGGTTATGGGTCAGGGTTTGTGATTGACAAGGCTTTGTTAGAAAGGAGGGGACCTGTGGGACCAGAAAGGGGAACCCTGGCAGATGTGAACCTGCCCAGAGAGCAGGGGCTGCTCTGCCCTGGGGACTAGAGAGGAGGCAGCTGCTGCTCTGAGCTGAATCCCCTGAACAGCCTGGGGAGGTTTTTGTTCAGGGCTGAAGCACTGTGGCAAAAGGAAGCTCTTGGACTGCTGACAGGAATAATCTCCAGCATCCTCAGGCTCCAGGCTGCTGATGGTGAGAATGAAATCTGTCCCAGACCCACTGCCCCTGAATCAGGTAGGCACTCCAGATACCAGGCTGTTAGCCCAGAAAATGAGGAGCCTGGGGGCTTGGCCAGGCTTCTTCTGGTACCAATGTAAGGGGTTAACATCATAATTATCACTATAATCATAATCATCACCAACACTATGTATTACACTCTCACTGGCCTTGCAGCTGAGGTTGACTCTCTCTCCTGGAGATTTGGACAAGGAGGCTGGAGACTGAGTCAGCACAATGGCTCCTTGGGAATCTAGGAAACCAACAAAATGAAAGGAAGACAAATGTGTGAATGTCCAATTTCAAGAAAATGAATGACGCAGTTTTGTGGCGACCACAGAAATTTGAAATGACTGACAAGTAGTTGTATTTGCTGTCAACATGAGGTGAAAGCCATCTTTCCCACAGACCTCTTAATGTTTGTAATCTGGGGCCTGGTCATGCTAGTCTGCCCCCCTCCACTTACGCTGTGCCTAAGCTTGCTCAACCACTATATCAAGGGGTCATCAGGTTTTCATTCCCTGAAAACCTGTGATCTTCTAAACCCATCACTGCTCTGCGGTGTCTTACCC